CCCTTTCCCCGGCTGGCAGGCTCCGATCGCCCGATGGTGAACAGGGAATGGGGGTGGGTGGCAGAGGACTTGGGCGGCGCCAGACCAAGGTCCCTGCTCGCCAGTTACCCCATACACAGAGGGCGACCCGTGGAGGGGGGCAGGGCCAGCAATCAGGCAGAACAGCCAACCCTTCAGTCCCTCCCCGCGGTGGGCAGGCTCTGATTGCCCAATGGCGAATGGAGAACCGGGGATGGGTGGTGGCAGGGGGTGGGTGATCGCAGGCCAGGCCTAGGGACCATACCCGCACACGGATTTCATGTGCCAGGCCTCTAATAAAAGTTATATGTCAAGGGGGGTCTCGCAGGCCAGGCCTAGGGACCATACCTGCACACGGATTTCATGCGCCAGGCCTCTAGTAAGTTATATGTCAAGGGGGGCCGGGGGAGGGCATCGGGATTTTAGAGATGCTTAGGTGGGGCATGGCCCCAAAATGTTGGGAACCACCAGACTAGAACCAACCCCAGTGGTTGAGGGGCTCAGTGAGGTGATGGTTGGGAGAATGTGGCACAGTCCCTGGCACGCAGCCAGCACCTGGTGTCAGATCACCTGGAGCCGCCCCTGCGACCTCTCACACCCCTTCCAGGGCACAGCGAGGTTGTCTGTGACAATGCTGCCTGCCCCGGAGTCATCCCAGCCTCTACTTTTCATCCACTTTCCTAGAAGAGAGCTGATGTGTCAGCATTTGTGCTATAAGTGGGCATTTCTGATCCTTAGAATGTAACCACTTATTTTATGGCTTTATATCTTTAAAAGGCATATTTCCAATGCACCCAGTACTTGTAATTGTGGGGGCAAGGAGAATTATAATAATGAAAATTACAGTTAGAATGTCAAGCGTTTATCTGGCAGTCACCTTGTTAGCACACCGTTGTACGCACTTTACACACATTAGCTTTGGGAATTTTTAATCTTGAAAGACTTGGCCAGTCTGCCCTCTGCATGGGTTTGGACCAGCGTGTGAGAGCTTCCTGTCCCCTCAGTCTCACTGACACAACATCACACTTTTGGACATTTGCCCGTCTGCTAGGTGCAAAGCATTACCTATTACCTCAGTTTGTTTTAATTTCCATTTATCTTGCTATTAGTACAGTTGAACATTGTCCCTATGTCAAGGATTTTGAGACATTGGATTTTCTTTTCTAGGAATCGCCTACCCATATCTTTTATATATTTTCCTGTTAGGTTGTTGATATTTTTCTTATTGATTTCTAGGAGCACTTTACATATTAGTGAAATGAGCTGTTTGTCTGTGATATCAGTTGCAAATGCTTTTCCCTGTAGGTCATTGTTATATTGGCTTTGTGGGTGGTGGGTTTGTTGTTGTTTTTTAACTTTTTTAGAAGTTTTTTTTTATTTTTGTCAAACTTTTCAGTCTTTTTTTTTAATTTATTTTTTTTTAATTTTTTATTACAAAGGGTATTATATATGTGTCTTTTTTTCCCCCCACCTTAGAAATTGTCCCCTAGCCTCCCCTATCCTCCAGTATCTTATGTTCGTTGGTTATGCTTATATGCATGCATACAAGTCCTTTGGTTGATCTCTTACCCCCCGACCTCCTGCCCCCCAACCCTCCCTGGCCTTCCCGCTGCAGTTTGACAATCTGTTTGAGGCAGCTCTGCCTCTGTATCTATTATTGTTCAAAAGTTTATAATGGTC